GGGTGCTAATACCTTCCCTAGATATAACCAACCCCCGAATCCCCGAATCTCTAAAGCGTTGTTGTTACATCGCGAAAAAGGTTCTTTCTTTCTTTAGACCTATCCTTTGGATAAATTAAAGACCGGTTGTAAAAGAAATACGGTTCAAGTTAATTAATAGCTTGATATCAAATTTTCACCGCAACACTCGCTTCTTGAATATCACAGGTTAGGGCATCTGCAGTTGTGATCGGCGCCCCCGTGGTTGGGGAGAGGGGCTCTGAGAGTTCTCACGCTGATCTCCCCGCGGAGGGGAGCAGGACGAGGTGTTGTGTTCCAGCACGCCAATGCGCTTATTCTACTGGAACAACATCTAGTTCGTCTGATTGATGGCTGCGAAGAGGGCAACCATCGTCGGGTCAACTCCGGGCGGCATGGGGATGGGCTGGAAAATTGATGGGCTTCTCGCCCGAGGAACGACGTGATGTGTCGCATCCTCGGATGAGGGGGAGGCAGTATGGTCGTCCCTGTGGTTGCTCTCATAGGGTTGAGACGCCCTCGGCTGGTTGTCGCCGTTGGTGACCAGGGCGAAGGCGGAGCCGAGAACAGAATCGTCGTGGCGTGGGATAGTCATGCTCTTGAGATTCGAGAGGAGGAAGCTTTGGTTTTCTTCTCGGAAGAACGGGGAAGCTTATTTCCCACAGACGGCGCCACTGATCTGTCCTGATCAGAAGGGAGTCAATGACCTACCACGCGTCGTTGATCTGCTAGTTGTTCACCAGAAGTATGGAAGAGGATGGGATGTACTTGCAAGACACTCCGATGCCAAAGTAAGTAATGGACCAGAGTGGAAGCAAATACAGAAGAGAGGTTAAGAAGTGAATACCTGACCCTCTAGTGAGAGAGGGTATTTATAGAGAGACACCAACGTAGGGCCAATGGTCACTTGTGTTGGGCTGGATTGTCAGGCCCAACCCAAGTGACTGCTAGGGCTTACGTGGCGTAGTGAAGACCAGCACGTGGTCTTCGTCCTAGTTCAACCGTCCCGTGATCTCCGGAAGGTGGGTTGACCAGTTCATCCGGAGGTGGGTAGTTGTCTGATGACGTGTTCCCGCGGGGGGAGAACGTGTTGTTTTGCCCGACAGATGGAGTATCCTGCTCGACAAGGGAGTTATTTGGTCGACGGGAGAGCCTGTGCCCGACACTGGGTAATTTGGGCCTTCCCCAAATAACGTTGGGATGGACCTGCCCGACGGATGGGCAGGCCTGGGCCCAGTCCAGAACATTAAGTTTCTTTGATCTGGAGATATGAAGATTGAAATCTTCGTCTCGACAAGATTGAAGATAATTAAATACAAACATGCGCAATTTTTGGCTCTAAGATACCACAAAGATGCTTTTGATATGATATGAATTCAAGACTCAGAGTTCTGCGGGATATGAAACCACAGGAGACAAACTACTGCAAACAGAGAACAAAGGGAATACTACAATGGAGTAGATAACAAATCTCAAAGAGACACAACTGAGGAAAGAACGATATTATAGATATTTGTCAATGTGACAAAGAGTATCCAGTAATACTTGGAAAGAGAGGGACAAACCCTAAATAGAGATACACACATCTGAGAAAGCATCAGATGTTGAAAGTAACACATTCTAGAAAGCATATCAGAAACATCTAGAAAAACATTAGATGTGGAACGAGACCAAATTTGAGAATACAACAGAGACTTCCAAGAAAGCAATTTACTTTACTATGGAATACTTAGGAGCATGCAGAAAGCACAGGCAACATTACTAAAGAAAGGGTAACAGTCATCAGAGGTTTTGTCAGAAATGTATTGAACAAACCCTGAAAAAGAATAGTATTAACCATCAAAGACATTCAGGAGAACATTGAATGAAACTTTGAAATATAAACAGACAATTAGAGATAAACAGACAACCATCAGAGATATTCATGATAAAATTGAATAATCTCCACTAAGGAATCAACAGTCATCATCCAAGAATGAAACTGGATGGAAAATAGTCATAATATTTAGGAGGACATTGAAAAGAAATGAGGAGTACCTTGGGAAAAGCATTAGGGATATTCAAGCAAACATCAGAGGCATCCATAAAAGCATTGAATAAACTCTAGAACATATGAAAACATCAAATACATTCAGAAAAGCATTGAATGGACTCTGAAAAACATCAAAGATATTCAGGAAAACATTGAATAAACTCCGTAACACATTCAGAAAAAGTATTGGATGAAGAATTGAAACAAACTTAAAGGCATTCAGCAGTTGTTAACCACAATCAGAGATAAATTGAAAACAACTAGAATATCATTAGATAAAAACAAAGATTCTGAAGCTACGTCCGAAACATTTAGAAAAGCTTTAAATGTACACGAAAAGGTTTTGAAGACATACCTGGAAGAACATCATGTAAGCATGGTCATATTTGGAAGAACATCAGATAATCAAGGGGCTTCTGGAAAAACATCAGAAGCAAAGTGGTATCTGGAAGAACGTCAGATAAACACAAAGGGATTCTGAAAAAACGTCAGAATATATAATAGACATATCCCAAAAAACAATCGGATGAGTTTTGGAAGAACATCATAACAAAGATACATATTCGGAAGAATGTCATATAGGTACAAGGGGGTTCTGGAAATAACATCAGAACGTAAGGTATATCTGGGAATTTATCAAATGTAAAAGAAATGAAACTCTGATAATACATCAGAATTACAAAGGTATATATCTAGAAACTCACTGGAGAGTAAAACAAATTTTGAAAGTGCATCAGAATAAAAGACTCAATCTGAAAATCATCAGAGAGACAAACATCAATGACACCCAAGAATGTCATTGGATGTAAGGAAACACAATATCCAGGAGTAACATCGGATGTAAAGGGATTACAACATCCAAGAATGGCATTGGATACAAAAGAGAGACAACATCCAAGAATGACATTGGATGTGGAAGGAATCACAATATCCATGAATGACACTAGATGAAATTGAACAAAACGACATCCAAGAATGGCATTAGATATAAGAGAGAGACAACATAAAGACATTGGATGGAAATTAAAATGACAGATATATCCAAGAATAACATTGGACACAAAGAAAGAAACAGACATAAACATCCAACAATAGCATTGGATGGAAGAGAAAAATAGGTACATCCAAGAATAGCATTCGATGAAAAATAGAGATATTCAAGAATAACATTGGACGCAAAAGAGGAACAGACATAAACATATATGCTTTGGTAGGTGCAAGTAAGTTGAACTTTGACCACAAATGAAGATAAAACACTCTTGTTATGCATAATATATGAATCTTATTATGATATATGATCTAATGCATCCAATCTAGATGTTGACGACATGGCTTGACTCTTTGGGGAGAAGAATTCTCCTATATTAAGGCCTTTAATGTAAACATTCAGCCTCCAAAACTTCTATTAAAGAAGTCATATGGGCCCCTCCTTCTCAAGGTTGGTACAAATGCAACTGAGATGGTGATCTCATTCATGAAATGTTTGCTGCTGATGGATATTTTTAAACACCATAAGGCTAATTTCTTATTGCCTTTTGCAGAAAATCTCAATTGTAACTCTTTTATTCATGCGAAATTTAGAGCTGCGATCAAGGCAATGGAAATTAGTATATCAATAATGATTGGAAAGGAAAACTTGTGTCGATTTTTTGACGAACTTAACACTCAACACCATCACAATCGTTTTTTTTATTCCATTCAAATCAAAATTAGAATTGATTTTTTTTAAGAATATGTCATGAATACCATTCTTTAGGCTCTCGTAATTTTGGAGCTAACTTAATCCCCATTTTTGTATTGAGTCTTTTTTTAAATAAAAAAAAAAAAAAAACATCATGATAAGCGCAAATGTTTAAATTTTAGAGTATGATATTTTCAATTTTCTTCATGCGCAGAAGCCATGGATTGAACTCTTGATAACTTGTTTATGGGATTCAAAACTTGTCAACAGACAATTTAAAATACATCACTCCCAAATTATGATACTAATAGTCAACCATAAATAAATTAATGAGATTAATTTGATAAAATTATTAATGTATTTTATTCATTCATTTTTCTGTTTTAGTAATATATTTCATTCATTCATTGATAAAATGATATACTATGACAATTACTAAGGAGTGCAAACAAAAAATAATTAAAGTAACCTTTTAAACAAGTTGTCCTATTCCTATAAGCACTAGTAAATCAAAGTCTACTTTGAGTAATCAATTTAAAGTGTATCTATAAATATCTAACTTTTGGAATCTGGACCCTTAATTTCCATATGCATGCATAGAAGCAAACAGTGTGTAAATAGCAAGAACAAAAATAATGATTTCATAGAAGAGCAAAAGGTCAGCAAATAGAGTAGATAAAAATTATGGGTAAACAAATATAAACATGCATCTACTTCCCATTTGGAAGGTATATTATACTAAGAAACACCATTGTTCAAAGGTCCCCACATCCACTAATTAGATTTTAAGGATTTTTTTCTTTTTTTACATAGTGAAAGGGAAAAACAGGTAAAAAAATTTAAGATGAATATTTAATTTTTTAGAGAACATTCTACTTTTATACTACTATATATCAAGCATAACAAGTCTTTGTTTTCTGGTAATATCTATTACTAGTATATAAGAGTATCTCTGTTCAAGCATAACAAGAATAATGGAAAGAAAACAATCCCAACTAGTTCAACTGTTTTTTGTAACCAAATGACTGCCAATTTAAACATGTATGGTTTCATCATCGTGTTCCATGGAGTTATGAGTCGCATCTTTTACAGTTGATAAAATGTCGGCCAATTTAAACATGTTTTGTTTCATCTTACAAACTATCTCAGTCTCATGCAATGTAATTTTTTAACAAAAATAGTAATAACTGTTATATACATAAACCATCTTATGGGATTATATATTTATTTCCCTGTCCTTACACTTTATCGCAGAGTGGCGACCCCATGTTAGTCCTGCTTGACATCTACTCCTCCAGCTTTAACAGGAGCTACAGCCGGGACATCTTCTGTTTCAACCTGCCAAATCATTTGGATTTTAAATTTCATTGGCAGTTTCCAACATTAAAGCTTCAACATTTATTTCTAGGCATGTAATGATGCACATGCACATGTCTCAATGTAAACATTGTACATCACATTCATGATGCAGTAAACCCAAAACAGAACCAACTGTTGACGATCACTCAAACTCCAAAAAGACAAATACAGGGATATGTATGGATACATGTAACATGAGTCTGTTGCTTGAACCAAGTGTCTATGACTGAGTTTAACTAAGAATTATGGCAGGACTGAGTTTAACTAAGAAATATGGCAGGACTGAGTTTAACTAACAATTATGTCATGGATCATATTTTTCCCCTGACAATTTTTATATGTCACCACCTTCCAAGAATGGGCTATCATCCTATTAAGTAACATAAAATGATGTATTGAGAAATTTGCATTGAAATGAATCCCAGTAATGTAGATCAGTAGACCTATAGCATTTCATAACACACAGTTCTCCTCTGATAATAAATCTAGAATACTCTTCCATGATAAAGTGTTTCAGTAATTAGAACAATAGACCTAAAATATTGTTCTTACTATCTGAGCAGAAAGGAAATCTTAATATAATAATCAATCGGAAAAATAGAAGTTCGATTAGCATAAGGCGAATTGCTTCAATACACAAGTAGTCCACTTTAGACAGAAAAGTTAGACATCTCAGCCATTGATAAGAAAGCCAACAATCGAAATTTGAATCAATATTACACACACATACAAACAAATGAATAAAAAAATCAGAGAATTAAAACATAGTCTCTGGACCAGACCAAAGCAAAATGTGCAAACAGTTCAAAATCAATGGACAAATTAACAAATTACAAGCCTCCAGATTAGTTAATAGTGAAGGATGGTGGGATTGGGTTTCCTTTGTTGAAGTTGGATTCAGCTTGATGGAGGTAGGTTTCTGTTCATTGGAGCCGGGTTCATTCACTATGATGGCTTGTTTGGCTCATTGTAATTTGTAACTATGCAACAGAGTTTGTTCATCTTCTCGAATTCGTAATGTCATTTATGCTGGGGAACTGAAGGTTCAAATTCAATAGAATTATCAGTTACCTTCTCTAGAGATGTGTTCATGCTGGAATATATGTTAGATTAGATGCATTGGTGGAATCAAGTGCTACAACTATAAGGCTAATATTTTGTAAACTGAGCCTTATTGTTCAACTGTTACATTTTGAGTTTTCTAAAAAAGACCAAAACACTGTCATTCAGAGGAACTAACCATTATATTCTAGACATATACAATCGGGATTTTGTTCAAGTCCGTAAGACTCTACCCATATTGGAAAAGAAATTATTTTATCAGGCTAGTTAACTTGATATAGTGATATTGATACCCAATTTTTGTCCATGGCAGAGAGCAGAAATCCCGCAATATTGGCCGCTTTGCGGCGCCGTTATAGTGGACCATGGCAGAAAAACCCGCAATATCTGCCGATATTTACCAGTGTGGCGAGCCCAAAAACCATCATGTATACCCACCATAGCAGTCATGCCACCACTTATTTGGTAACACTGTTGATACCTATACCTAGAGTAGTAAATTCATATGAGTCAATTAAAGAGTTTGAAAACCATGCTAATTTATGCATTCAATGAGGCCATTGTTGGTTGAATAGGTAATTTATGCTAATTCAGGCTAGGTGGGTTGTTTTCATGGATTGGTGTCATCATTGATATCAACTTCTCACTTACTTCAGCATTCCTTTTATTGGTAATTCTTCATCTCCTTTAATTGCAGACTTCTCACTTACTTAAGCCTAAGATTGATCCCTAAAAACATAGACTTAAGCCATGGCATTCATTTTCCAATTGTAGCAATAAACAGAAAAAATAACGAATTTTTAACATTTAGAAATAAGAATATCGGATAACAATTCACAATCCAAGTTATTCCAATAAAACAAAAGTTCACAAATGGTGATCAAACTAGCTATACACTTAGCAGAATACGCTTCATAGTCATTCATTTCATTACTAAATAACATATCAATAATGATTTATTCTGGCATTCACTTACTTTACTCTCCATTTTGGCTGCAGGCTTGTAAGGACATGCTGGAGGGACCATCTCCGGTTTCCTAAACTCCCATCCAAAAAGCCGATATACTTTTCCCTGAATATTACTCGAAGTTCAAAAATTATGTGAGCTTAACAACAATCAAGAGAGAGCGTCAAGAATGATTCAAATTTCACAACAAATTATTCAAAATCATTGAACTCGCAGGTTAATAGGGTTAGTTAGAAATGATAATTTTTAAAATCTGATAAAAGAACAAGATTATTATGGTGCGAGATAACAAAAAGATGGAAAATTGAATGGAAGAAGAACTTACCATAACATAGTAGAAAAGAATAGGCAATACGTTCACGATTGGAACGAGGAAAAGGGGCAATAAGCAAAACAAGCAAACCTAAATCACAGAAAAAGAAATTATAATTTTAGAATCAGAAATAGTAATCGATTAATCGAAAATCGGAAGAGGAAATAGAGAATTACCATGTTTGGATGAATAATCGATTGTGGTTAAAGACTTGAGTTGATGCAAGACTCGCGAGGAAGATGAAGAACACGCTCGTGGAAGGGTTGAAATAAATAAATAAGATTTAATAGTAAAAATTAAAAAACGAAAATTTAAAAAAATATGGCCCATGCAGGTCTCGAACCTGCGACCTTCGCGTTATTAGCACGACGCTCTAACCAACTGAGCTAATGGGCCAGTTGTTTAGAGCGTGTATTTTAAGGTATTTATTTAAAGCATTGTAATTATAGATTGAATAAAGCATAAGGACTCAATGACCTTTAGAGACTAAAAAGTTAAGTATTCTTTACTTGTATGAATTATAAGTTTATAAATGTTTGAAGATATGTTTACTGAAAAAACTTCTGAATAATTGATACGCAAGTAAAAGGCCATGAGCTTATTTCAATTTACAAGAAATGTTTTTTTTTTTTTTTGGGGAAATGCTACTTGTTATTATTTTGATATTAATATGAGTTTAATTTTGTGATCTGGTTATCTTTCTAATTCCTATTTGATCTCCATGATATAATAAGAGTTTAATGAACAAATTAAGTTATAAAAATTAATTAAATTTTTCATTGTATAACTAATTAGAATTTTAATTAATTGATATGAATTGAATATGAATACATTTTAAGTTGTTTATTTTAAAATAATAAAAATCCTACCTAATCTAATTAAATTCTCTTATATAAGAGCATAATTTACTATAACACTATTTATAAATTTTTTATTTTATTTTTATAAATTTAAAAAGATAACTTACGAAAATAATTTGTAACACATATATAATTGAAAAAAAAAATAACTTATCATTTATATTAGATAATTTAACTTATATAAGAGAATTTAACTTAGGCATAATTTTTGTAGGAATGTTTGAAAGAGTTTATTAAAACTGTTTATAATATTATTTATGAATTTTTTTAGCTTATTTTTATAAGTTTTAAAAGATAATTTATAAAAAAACAATTTATAGCACATATATTCAAATGGTTCAAATTTATTGGATCTTTTATTTAAAAAAATAATGTATGAAAACTTTTTTATAATTACTTATTTTGATAATAATTGTGCTATAAGGTTCAAATAAACTGTTTATCTATACAGATTTTAAATTCATCACATATTATTTGTACTTTTCATAGATAGAGAACATGATAATGCACATGGAGTTTAAGTTTAAGAAGAACTCCAAATCAACAACTTTGTTACTCTTTTATTGTATTTTTTAAATTAGTGTATTATCAAGTCAAATGTAATGTGACTGAACTAAAGCTCCTGGGAAAGGAGGTCAATCTTTAGTCCAAAAAAAAAACTTTAAGAAATAAAGACCACATATAAAAATCAAAGAAGAGTTCTAAGAAAGGCTTCTAAGATGTATACTCGGCTCAGAGTTGGTGGAACATCTTTATGAAAGCCCACGCTCTGGGATGAAGGTGCAAGGGGGCAACCTTCAAATGATCCAAGACAGTCACCTCAAAATTAGAGAAAGACAATCGTATTTCTAACCTGGTGAAAAGGCATTCATACAGAGGAACTGAATAGTTCTTGAAAGAGTTGCATATCCTCTCATTCGAGCCTACTGGGAGAACTGACCAATTTAGAGGGATTGTCAACCGTGATGCTAGCTTTTGTGGGTCTCGACAATGTTCAAGGCAGCGGCCACCCAATGTTATCTATTGGCGTAAGCCAGTTCAATTAATTGAATACCCTTATGAGCCAACACTTCGGTTATATAATGGTCACCAGGGCTGACCCATGATACAACGTCAGACCGCCCCAAACATTCAAAGTGACGAACAATTTCAGCATCGCTAGGTTCCTGGCCAATCACCCCTTAGAATGTTTTAACAGAGCTGCTAGCGTTATCCATCCTTTGACGGATAGCTTCTATTTCGCCTCAATCAAGACAGGAGAAGGCATTCACTTCTCGACAAGGCCTTCACCTCTATCGAATCTCCTTGAAAAGAGATTCTCTAGATGATCTTTCCATTTTCGAATTATCACTCAAGAGGATAAATTTTGGTTTGAAATTCCCACTTACATAAGGGACAAATTTTGAATTGGAATCCATTCTTTTTTATGAGGATTGTTCTGGAGTGGGCCTAGACCTGCCTATCCGTCGGGCAGGCCCAGCCCAACGTTATTTGGGGAAGGCCCAACAAGGCCCAAATCCCCCTATGTCGAGCACGGTTCTAGACACATCGGGCAGACATCTTTCCCGTCGGGAAAGATAACACGTCTTCCCCACGTTCTCCACGTACTCCCCCCGCGGGAACACGTCATCAAGCAACTACCCCACCTCCGAAAGAGCTGGTCAGCCCACCTTCTGGAGATCACGAGATAGTTGAACTAGGGCGAAGACCACGTACTGGTCTTCACGATACAACATAAGCTCTAGCAGTCACTTGGGTTGGGTCTGGCAATCCAGCCCAACACAAGTGACCGTTGACCCTGCGTTGGGGTCTCATTATAAATACCCTCTTTCACTAGAGGGTCCGGTATTCATTCTCTACACCTAACTTCTGTATCTGCTCCCACTCTGATCTTTTACTCACTTAAGCATTTGAGTGTCTTGCAGGTACACCCCCTCCTCTCTACTTCCGGTGAGCAGATTTCAGATCAGTGCTGCGTGGCGGTCGGTAATCTCTTCTGATCAGGTACGATCAAAGATGAAGAAGCATTACCCTTCGAATCAATCTCGACAGTGGTAAGGTTATTATTCATAGTAGCGAAAATACAGCAAAATACTAAAATGAGAAGCTGAAAGGAAGAAAAGTACCTCGAAATGTAAGGTCGAAGGTATTAAAGCAATAAAAGGCCAAGGATTCGAAGCTTTAAAGCTTTAAAATTTTGAATGTATAACGACTTGTACCCTTGAAGAAAATTCTCTCGGAGAATAGGCAAAAAGTCAAAGAGACAAGGGAAACTCAATTTGCACGATAGCGAAAATTTTCTCCCTCTTTCTTCTATTATATAGACATAGGCAACCAAACAAGTCAGATTGAAAGCAAGAGGAAAGTAAAGATCGACGTCAGATTTTTTCCTAGGAACTCACCCAAACTCAAGTGCACGGTAAGCAACGTCACACGACTCCGTACCTTTGTTAGGTTACGCATCGAGAGAAGAATTGTGAAATGTTTTAATGATGAAACTCCATTTAATGCTCGTGTCCCCCACTATACTTTGGCAAAATCAAATCAACACATGACAATCGACGCCTAGACAACCATTTTCAAAAGTCGGTTATGACTACTAAAGACTCCTTCCACATACAGAATGTATGGCGACTCTTGGGGGCAACTGTTTCGTGTCGGCCGAATGCCTCGAGTCCTACTATATTCCATGTCATCCGAAGGCCTAATAACTTTAGGCCTATTATATAACCTTTTCCACTAAACCCAAGGTATTAATACCTTTATAAAGGATTTTCAAGTACACAGTCTCTAATCTCCATTTCTATTGTGGTTATCTCAAAACCTAAACTAACTTAGGTGTTGAAGTGCTAACCATGCAGGTACCCCAACCCCTTATGTCCACCTTATTGGAGATTAGAACGTCCATTCAAGCTCGACACTGATCAAAAACATTTATTTAAAATCAACACTCTCGGTCCAAGAAGAATTGTGATCGCAACCTTCGATTCACGGTGTTTCATCGTAAAACCATTCACGGAGCTTCGTTCTACTGTAGCTTCCGTGATTTCATCCATTTATGGTTCTGAAATGTAACAAAATCCATGTGCATTGTTGATGGAAGAATTGGAGTTAGAGAATTAAATAAAAACACTATGAGGAGTGTGAATGGGATCTTGTCATTCTTACAAAGAAATGGTTAGTTCACTCATGAATGAGGTTTGAAATTCAACAATTTTGAGATGTGGGTAAGAGGAAACGACATTGAAGCTCCTCTGAAGCTGAGGAGAACATTTGGAGCAAAAGTGAAGGATCTGGCGATTGATACCATAATAGAAACTAGTTTCCAATTTTCATTCTTAATTTCAAATTGAGTTACATGCTCATTTTTATAGAGCTTAGTTGGTCCCAAGTACAGGCTAGTTACAACAACCAACGGGGACCGTAAATAACTCTTAGAAAACTTTAGATTAAAACCAACTTCATTCTATCTTAGTTAAGTCAATCGTTATTACGCTCAATCATAGATAGGCGGGCGGGTTGACCCTTCGATCAAGGTTGTCATAATCGAATTTTTACCTTAACTCGTTTTGTTTAAATAAAATTGAAATGTAAAATCATAGAATTTATCTCATATTAAAACAATAATATACACACACCCACGCGCACGAACGAACACGCACACGCACACTCGCTCACACACACACACACACATATTGTAAATTAATCAATAATTTAAATTTTTAACTTAATTATAAAGAAAAAATATATTAAATCACCATAATAAAGTGTAATATTCATAAATTTGTATGAAACTACATAAATTACCCACCAAATCATAAAAAAAATCCAAAAGATTATCCAAAAAAAACAAAAGTTTCATATGTTTCTCAAAAAACAAGTGTTTTCATCTTTATTTTCAACTTAATCAAAAGTTTTATCCTTCTACAACATCATTTACATCATTGTCTTCATCTTCAATTTGATCAAGTTCACCTCTAGATGATGAAAGTTTTTTAATATTTGAAACAAAGACAAAATTATTTGAAGGTGAAGATGGAGGAATGCTTGAACCATCGGTTTCACAACTTGCACTAACTTCACCATTGATAGGTTGTTGCACATTCTCATCATTATTATTAACATGTCCATCAGAGGTAGTTAGAAATTCATCATCATAGTCAATATCAACAAAGTGTGTGAGAAGTCGTTTAATGCGAATAAAAAAATGTGGGAGAAATTTTCATGGGACAAAATATAAAATGGAATTTTTAAAATTTGACAAAAAAAAAAGGTAAAATTGGGTCAAAGAGTAAAATTTAACGATTTTACAAGATTTC